TTTCAAAATCAAACACTGACAAATAAGAGAGACACGACACTGTATGATTTCTAGAGCTGATATAGGCAATTTGTTCAGCAGAGTGATGTAAGCTTCCTTATGATTGCATCATCCATGACTTCTAGGAATAACATGATGCAATTCATATCATGTATGACGCAATACCAGCTTCAGATTGCACCATTCATTGTTTTGCCTAAAAAGCAAGTACTGTCCAAACCCAGTCATAGATTTATTCATAGATCCAGTCAAAGATGTATTTTAGTCCTTTCTGGTTTAAATTGAGATCCCTTCCCTTTATAACTCACTTATCCTCCGCCATTCCCAAGTCAAGGGTCGTATATACTGACCCAATAGCATATCTTAAAACCTAGAGCCAATCAACAATTTTAAGCATAATTTTCGTTCTCAGTGACCCAGAATTAGTAAAGTTTGACTACATTTATTTCAGAAGCATTTTGGCTGTAGGACAGTGTAATAGGAGGACAATTCAATCTCTCTGATTTTTGTATTCATTAAATATTTGTATGATGAGTATTTGGGGGTCATGATTTGGAACACCTGCTTGCTCACAGAAGCTTAAGCAGAGAAATGAAGGTCAAGAAATGTAGTATTTTATTAACGAGTTGATAGACAGTTGGCAGCTTTACAGATTTTGCTATGTTGGCCAATGCACTTTCTACCCAGGATGCTGCTGTAGACAGTGCTGAGGGGGATCTGATCACTTTTCATTTATCCACATTTGTGTAGGCTTTGCTGATGCAAAGTTTGACCCACTTGATTATGGATGATTTGCATGCTTTTAGGCTGAAAGCAAGTGAATAAAAATGAGGTTTTCCTGAACTCTTTAGGTTTAATAAGTAAAACAGTTCTTCTCACAATCAGTATGAGCCCCAATCTTTTCAGGTGTTGTGCCTTTGGGTAAAACAGGAACAATTTGCTGTGATGCATGGAAGTAAGTGTTTCTGTCCAAGAATACTTGACTGTGAAGAATGATCTTGTCTCTGTGAGAAGAAGACACATCAAAACTCATGCCTCCCAAAAGCAGAGGTTTCGGAAACTCTTCTTGCAGACATAATTGCAACCAAAAAAAGCTAGCAGAGACACTAAAACAATTTGTTTTGTGAACATAGATGACATAATATTCCACAATTGTTCTCTGACAATTGTGCTTAGGAATGGACTGGGTACTGTTAGCAAATTTGTGTAAGGAAAAAATAGTTACCTACCTTTCCATTCCAATGTAGGTATGTGCATACCTTGTACACAGTTAGTTGTTAGAGAACTTTTTCCCTTAGTGGTATCCTTCAGGGCATCTTGAGTGCCTTCTGTCACTCTGTGCCACTGCACACTGGTGTACAAGTGTGGAGCCGTCCCCCCCCCACTCAGTTCCTTCTTACCGGATAGACTCCAAAAGAAAGGGGAAGAAGGTTGGGTCATGGCATGGACATGTACAACATATCTTTAAGAAGAATAGTTTTGGAAAGCTAGGTAACAGTTTTCTTCAAGTGGTTGCATATGTCCATTCCACTGTAGGTGACTCACAAGCAGATTAAAGTAAAGGTAGGTTTGGAGTTTACCTGAACAGCTATTTATAGAACAGCCTGTCAAAAACTGGCATAATTTCTGGACAGACGGGAAATGGCATAATGAGCATCAAAAATGTTCAACTGATGACAAGGTTGCTGTTTTGAATACACCTCTACCTTGATAATAACGCGACCCGATATAACACGAATTCGGATATAACATATGGTAAAGCAGTGCTCCAGGGGGGTGGGGCTGCACACTCCGGCAGATCAAAGCAAGTTTGATATAACACAATTTCACCTATAACGCGCTAAGATTTTTTGGCTCCCGAGGACAGCGTTATATCGGGGTAGAGGTGTATGTCTCAAATAGGTACTTGTGCTAGGAAGGTTGCTGAAGCTGTTCGCGCTCTAGTCAAATGAGCCAATACTCTAGGAGATGGCATGACATTAGCTAATTGGTAGCACAAGAAATCCAGGAAGAAATCTTTTGAGTGGAAATTGGTTTGCCTTTCACCTCTGAAACTGCAACTAATAACTACGATTACCTACTGGTGGGTGAAACGCTGAAATGACTGTCATAAATACTTTAAATGAACTGTCAGGCATTGATGTTTTACGTGCTACATATAATCCAAATCATTGATGGAAGCCTGCACTGGAGAGAGACTTCTCTGCTGAGGCCAGATAAAAAAAAACATTTCCATTTGGCCCAGTAAGTATGCCATGTACAATGTTTTTTGCTATTCAGAAGCACCTGCTATTTTCCCTAAGTGCTCATGCCTTACCTTTTAGGGAAACGCATGACATTCAATGTCAAAGGGTTCAAGAAAATGCCATTCAAATGGATAGTTCAGTCATTTTATTAATTCTCTTTTTAAAAATATATAAAAAGGTACTGATTTTATTTCACACGAAATACTTGGAATATACCTACAAGCCCCTCCTCATAGCCGTTCCAAAATCTTTAATAATACATTATCTATGTATATACAAAATATTTCTGCATACTTTAAAAAAAGTTTCTGCACAATTGTTTTAAATATGAAAGGAATATAAAACTGATTTGTTTTTAAAAGTTATTCATTTTCTTGCTAAGACTTTCAATGTATGTACGTACGTACAAAGTATAAGCTAGCATAATACAAGCATTCCAACAATTCACTATTATATTAAATATGTTTAAGGTAACATATTGCTTGGCTTTATAAAAAACAATACATCTTCCTTCTTTCTACTTTTCATGACTTGAAGGCAGCGGTACAGTCAAGGATTCAAGATGTCCTCCAAAATTTTCACAGATGATTCATATAGGGTTCTGAAACCAGAGAAATCAGTGAGCAGCTGAATAAGACGTGCAAAAGAAACAGCTTTGCCTATTTGCTTTTCAATAAATAGCTACTCCCTTATTTCTTTGAGAAGTTACACACCACTAGTTTAAGGAATTAAAGAAGTTGTTTTATTGGATTACATTTAAGAGGAACAATCTTGCTCAGCATTTCCATTCATCTCTTCGAATGATTATAGATTACAGCAGGGGTAGGCAACCTATGGCACGCGTGCCGAAGGCGGCACGCGAGCTGATTTTCAGTGGCACTCACACTGCCCGGGTCCTGGCCACCGGTCTGGGGGCCTCTGCATTTTAATTTAATTTTAAATGAAGCTTCTTAAACATTTTTAAAACCTATTTACTTTACATTCAACAATAGTTTAGTTATATATTATAGGACTTATAGAAAGAGGCCTTCTAAAAATATTAAAATGTATTGTTGGCATGCGAAACCTTAAATTAGAGTGAATAAATGAAGACTCGGCATACCACTTCTGAAAGGTTACCGACCCCTGGATTACAGTATAGCTACGGAGGATCAAATCTTTAATTTTAAAATCGACAAAAAAGTTTTAAATTTGAATAAAAGCCTGAATTTTTCCCCATTTTTACCAGCTTTAAATATGATCTAATTTGTTCTCTACTTTCAAAAAGGTATAAGAACAAGTAGAGTGTCTATTTAAATATTTTTAAAATACTGTATTGGTACTGTTTCTTAATATTTGACCTTCTACATACTTAAATCACTGTTCATTTACTTCTCTGAATATTTGATTTACTGCCCTTTTCTACCTCTGCCATCTTACTATCATATACACAGCATTAATCCTCTGAAGTCCAGTCTTGCCCCTTCCTCATTTCCCTTTTTCTTCTCTGCTCTCCACTTCCCTACAACCTCCTCTTCTGGTCACTCATTTTCCCCATTCCCTGCCAATCCACATAATTTCTGCATTCTCCTCTTTCTCCGGTATTTATTTTCCCTAGTGCTGATCTTCCTGCATCTTTATCCTTGGTACTAACAGCCACCCATCTGTCACTTCAGATGTACTATCCTCAGCAACATTCCCACCCCTGCACACACTGGAATCCTTACACCATCTCAAAAAAGATAACTGCTATCCCCAAGCTTTTAATCTATCACTCTCCATTTTCTTGCATTCCTCATCCAACATTGCCTCTGCAGTTGCACTCTCCCACAGAACTTCTCACACTCACCCAGCCTTAAACTGTCCTCAGAAGACCATAGTCAGGGCATCTGGCTTATCGCCAAACACTAATGCAACATTTATCTTTGTAGATTTGATTTCTTGATGCTTGAATTCATATTGTGACAAATTGTCAGCTTTATTTTCCATGCATCATTTCTCCAATATTTGCAATGTTAGTTATTTGTAAGATTCTAAGGATGCCCTATATTAGCAATGCTAATCACTAACTTAAGTATTGTTCCAGGTGCCCGAAGAGCAAACATACAAGGAACAATTCAGGAATTTTATTTAATATTTTGTTTGGCTTTAGATCGTTAAACGGAGATGTCCCTTCACTGAGAGACTCATCATGCCCTAAGCTAATGGACGTCCAACTATAATAGAACTCAGAATGACTGTAAGGCACCGAAAAGAGGAAAAAACAAGGTAAATTTAAAGTCAATTGTATTAAATTCTCTTTACCTTTACTATTTTGAGTATGCTGCAGAAATTCTACACAAATAGTGAGAAACTATTTGCAAGTTCTCTTTAATTAGCACTTCAATGACAGAGCAATGAAGGGTTTGGAAAGACATCTATATGATAACGTGAGGAAAACGTTAAATGTTTCAGCATAAAAAAGTTAAATAGGTTTAATTTCAGTGCCCAGATACTGAAATGCTAATCATACTAAGCAAAGATGATTATATATATTATGAATTATATCATAATATTTCATAGCTTATTTGATTTGTTCAATGCAAACATCCATAATATTCGCTTTTAACTGTCAACTGAAAGTGCTGTTTGGTGGTGGAGGAAGCAATGGGAAGGAGGAAGGAAGGGGGAGGAAGTGGAGAAGAGGAACTTGTGCAATGCTCTCTTGTAAAGTCATCCAAACGATGTTATAAGGGAGCATTGCACAACTTTAAATGAGTATGTTCCCTAATGGAGCAACGACGTAACTTCGAAACAACGTTAAGCAAGGAGTTACTGTAATTCCCAAAGGGCTGAAATTTTAAAATAATGTAAACAGATATAAAAAGTAACAAATTAAGCTTTGAGAAGAGTAAATTTATTATAGTTGATGTTAGCATATATAAATTAGTAAGTTATCTGACCATATAATGAGCTGTGGACTAATTTGCAGACAATTTTGACTACAAGTTTTCCTCTGGCCAAACAGAATGAGAAAGACGTAATAATTAAAAGAAAATTGCTGTTTGCCAAAATAAGGCAGAGGTATATAAAATCATGAGTGGTATGGAGAAAGTGAATAAGGAAAATTTATTTACTTGTTCCCATAATATAAGAACTAGGGGCCACCAAATGAAATTAATGGGCAGCAGGTTTAAAACAAATAAAAGGAAGTTCTTCACACAG